TGAGGGTATCACGTGGGTGGTGTGTTGTTGGGGGTGGGGTTGCGTGGGTGATGGTATCACGTGGGGCGGTGTGTTGTTGGGGGTGGGGTTGCGTGGTGAGGGTATCACGTGGGTGGTGTGTTGTTGGGGCTGGGGTTGCGTGGTGAAGGTATCACCTGGGCGGTGTGTTGTTGGGGTGGGGTTGCGTGGTGATGGTATCACGTGGGCGGTGTGTTGTTGGGGGTGGGGTTGCGTGGTGAGGGTATCACGTGGGTGGTGTGTTGTTGGGGGTGGGGTTGCGTGGTGAAGGTATCACCTGGGGCGGTGTGTTGTTGGGGGTGGGGTAGCGTGGTGATGGTATCACGTGGGTGGTGTGTTGTTGGGGGTGGGGTTGCGTGGTGAGGGTATCACGTGGGTGGTGTGTTGTTGGGGGTGGGGTTGCGTGGTGAGGGTATCACGTGGGTGGTGTGTTGGTGGGGGTGGGGTTGCGTGGTGATGGTATCACGTGGGTGGTGTGGGGTTGCGTGGTGATGGTATCACGTGGGTGGTGTGTTGTTGGGGGTGGGGTTGCGTGGTGAGGGTATCACGTGGGTGGTGTGGGGTAGCGTGGTGATGGTATCACGTGGGTGGTGTGTTGTTGGGGGTGGGGTTGCGTGGTGAGGGTATCACGTGGGTGGTGTGTTGTTGGGGGTGGGGTTGCGTGGTGAGGGTATCACGTGGGTGGTGTGTTGTTGGGGGTGGGGTTGCGTGGTGATGGTATCACGTGGGTGGTGTGGGGTTGCGTGGTGATGGTATCACGTGGGTGGGGTGTTGTTGGGGGTGGGGTAGCGTGGTGAGGGTATCACGTGGGTGGTGTGTTGTTGGGGGTGGGGTAGCGTGGTGAGGGTATCACGTGGGTGGTGTGTTGTTGGGGGTGGGGTAGCATGGTGAGGGTATCACGTGGGTGGTGTGTTGTTGGGGGTGGGGTTGCGTGGTGAGAGTATCACGTGGGAGGTGTGTTGTTGGGGGTGGGGTAGCGTGGTGAGGGTATCACGTGGGCGGTGTGTTGTTGGGGGTGGGGTAGGGTGGTGAGGGTATCACGTGGGCGGTGTGTTGTTGGGGGTGGGGTTGCTTGGCGATGGTATCACGTGGGTGGTGTGTTGTTGGGGGTGGGGTAGCGTGGTGAGGGTATCACGTGGGTGGTGTGTTGTTGGGGGTGGGGTAGCGTGGTCAGGGGCGTCCCGGGGGGGGGGGGTCATAGCGGGGTGGGGTAGCGTGGTGAGGGTATCACGTGGGTGGTGTGTTGTTGGGGGTGGGGTAGCGTGGTGAGGGTATCACGTGGGTGGTGTGTTGTTGGGGGTGGGGGTAGCGTGGTGAGGGTATCACGTGGGCGGTGTGTTGTTGGGGGTGGGGTTGCGTGGTGAGGGTATCACGTGGGTGGTGTGTTGTTGGGGGTGGGGTTGCGTGGTGATGGTATCACGTGGGTGGTGTGGGGTTGCGTGGTGATGGTATCACGTGGGTGGGGTGTTGTTGGGGGTGGGGTAGCGTGGTGAGGGTATCACGTGGGTGGTGTGTTGTTGGGGGTGGGGTAGCGTGGTGAGGGTATCACGTGGGCGGTGTGTTGTTGGGCGTGGGGTAGCGTGGTGAGGGTATCACGTGGGTGGTGTGTTGTTGGGGGTGGGGTAGCGTGGTGAGGGTATCACGTGGGTGGTGTGTTGTTGGGGGTGGGGTAGCGTGGTGAGGGTATCACGTGGGCGGTGTGTTGTTGGGGGTGGGGTTGCGTGGTGAGGGTATCACGTGGGTGGTGTGTTGTTGGGGGTGGGGTTGCGTGGTGATGGTATCACGTGGGTGGTGTGGGGTTGCGTGGTGATGGTATCACGTGGGTGGGGTGTTGTTGGGGGTGGGGTAGCGTGGTGAGGGTATCACGTGGGTGGTGTGTTGTTGGGGGTGGGGTAGCGTGGTGAGGGTATCACGTGGGCGGTGTGTTGTTGGGTGTGGGGTAGCGTGGTGAGGGTATCACGTGGGTGGTGTGTTGTTGGGGGTGGGGTAGCGTGGTCAGGGGCGTCACATGGGTGGTGTGTTGTTGGGGGTGGGGTAGCGTGGTGAGGGTATCACGTGGGTGGTGTGTTGTTGGGGGTGGGGTTGCGTGGCGATGGTATCACGTGGGTGGTGTGTTGTTGGGGGTGGGGTAGCGTGGTGAGGGTATCACGTGGGTGGTGTGTTGTTGGGGGTGGGGTAGCGTGGTGAGGGTATCACGTGGGTGGTGTGTTGTTGGGGGTGGGGTTGCGTGGTGAGGGTATCACGTGGGTGGTGTGTTGTTGGGGGTGGGGTAGCGTGGTGAGGGTATCACGTGGGTGGTGTGTTGTTGGGGGTGGGGTAGCGTGGTGAGGGTATCACGTGGGTGGGGTGTTGTTGGGGGTGGGGTAGCGTGGTGAGGGTATCACGTGGGTGGTGTGTTGTTGGGGGTGGGGTAGCGTGGTGAGGGTATCACGTGGGTGGTGTGTTGTTGGGGGTTGGGTAGCGTGGTGAGGGTATCACGTGGGTGGTGTGTTGTTGGGGGTGGGGTTGCGTGGTGAGGGTATCACGTGGGTGGTGTGTTGTTGGGGGTGGGGTAGCGTGGTGAGGGTATCACGTGGGTGGTGTGTTGTTGGGGGTGGGGTAGCGTGGTGAGGGTATCACGTGGGTGGGGTGTTGTTGGGGGTGGGGTTGCGTGGTGAGGGTATCACGTGGGTGGTGTGTTGTTGGGGGTGGGGTAGCGTGGTGAGGGTATCACGTGGGTGGTGTGTTGTTGGGGGTGGGGTAGCGTGGTGAGGGTATCACGTGGGTGGTGTGTTGTTGGGGGTGGGGTAGCGTGGTGAGGGTATCACGTGGGTGGTGTGTTGTTGGGGGTGGGGTTGCGTGGTGAGGGTATCACGTGGGTGGTGTGTTGTTGGGGGTGGGGTAGCGTGGTGAGGGTATCACGTGGGTGGTGTGTTGTTGGGGGTGGGGTAGCGTGGTGAGGGTATCACGTGGGTGGTGTGTTGTTGGGGGTGGGGTTGCGTGGTGAGGGTATCACGTGGGTGGTGTGTTGTTGGGGGTGGGGTAGCGTGGTGAGGGTATCACGTGGGTGGGGTGTTGTTGGGGGTGGGGTAGCGTGGTGAGGGTATCACGTGGGTGGTGTGTTGTTGGGGGTGGGGTTGCGTGGCGATGGTATCACGTGGGTGGTGTGTTGTTGGGGGTGGGGTAGCGTGGTGAGGGTATCACGTGGGTGGTGTGTTGTTGGGGGTGGGGTAGCGTGGTGAGGGTATCACGTGGGTGGTGTGTTGTTGGGGGTGGGGTTGCGTGGTGAGGGTATCACGTGGGTGGTGTGTTGTTGGGGGTGGGGTAGCGTGGTGAGGGTATCACGTGGGTGGTGTGTTGTTGGGGGTGGGGTAGCGTGGTGAGGGTATCACGTGGGTGGGGTGTTGTTGGGGGTGGGGTAGCGTGGTGAGGGTATCACGTGGGTGGTGTGTTGTTGGGGGTGGGGTAGCGTGGTGAGGGTATCACGTGGGTGGTGTGTTGTTGGGGGTGGGGTAGCGTGGTGAGGGTATCACGTGGGTGGTGTGTTGTTGGGGGTGGGGTTGCGTGGTGAGGGTATCACGTGGGTGGTGTGTTGTTGGGGGTGGGGTAGCGTGGTGAGGGTATCACGTGGGTGGTGTGTTGTTGGGGGTGGGGTAGCGTGGTGAGGGTATCACGTGGGTGGGGTGTTGTTGGGGGTGGGGTTGCGTGGTGAGGGTATCACGTGGGTGGTGTGTTGTTGGGGGTGGGGTAGCGTGGTGAGGGTATCACGTGGGTGGTGTGTTGTTGGGGGTGGGGTAGCGTGGTGAGGGTATCACGTGGGTGGGGTGTTGTTGGGGGTGGGGTTGCGTGGTGAGGGTATCACGTGGGTGGTGTGTTGTTGGGGGTGGGGTTGCGTGGTGAGGGTATCACGTGGGTGGTGTGTTGTTGGGGGTGGGGTAGCGTGGTGAGGGTATCACGTGGGGGGGGTGTTGTTGGGGGTGGGGTTGCGTGGTGAGGGTATCACGTGGGTGGGGTGTTGTTGGGGGTGGGGTAGCGTGGTGAGGGTATCACGTGGGTGGTGTGTTGTTGGGGGTGGGGTAGCGTGGTGAGGGTATCACGTGGGTGGTGTGTTGTTGGGGGTGGGGTAGCGTGGTGAGGGTATCACGTGGGTGGGGTGTTGTTGGGGGTGGGGTTGCGTGGTGAGGGTATCACGTGGGTGGTGTGTTGTTGGGGGTGGGGTAGCGTGGTGAGGGTATCACGTGGGTGGTGTGTTGTTGGGGGTGGGGTAGCGTGGTGAGGGTATCACGTGGGTGGTGTGTTGTTGGGGGTGGGGTTGCGTGGTGAGGGTATCACGTGGGTGGTGTGTTGTTGGGGGTGGGGTAGCGTGGTGAAGGTATCACGTGGGTGGGGTGTTGTTGGGGGTGGGGTTGCGTGGTGAGGGTATCACGTGGGTGGTGTGTTGTTGGGGGTGGGGTAGCGTGGTGAGGGTATCACGTGGGTGGGGTGTTGTTGGGGGTGGGGTAGCGTGGTGAGGGTATCACGTGGGTGGGGTGTTGTTGGGGGTGGGGTTGCGTGGTGAGGGTATCACGTGGGTGGTGTGTTGTTGGGGGTGGGGTAGCGTGGTGAGGGTATCACGTGGGTGGTGTGTTGTTGGGGGTGGGTAGCGTGGTGAGGGTATCACGTGGGTGGGGTGTTGTTGGGGGTGGGGTTGCGTGGTGAGGGTATCACGTGGGTGGGGTGTTGTTGGGGGTGGGGTTGCGTGGTGAGGGTATCACGTGGGTGGTGTGTTGTTGGGGGTGGGTAGCGTGGTGAGGGTATCACGTGGGTGGGGTGTTGTTGGGGGTGGGGTTGCGTGGTGAGGGTATCACGTGGGTGGTGTGTTGTTGGGGGTGGGGTAGCGTGGTGAGGGTATCACGTGGGTGGGGTGTTGTTGGGGGTGGGGTTGCGTGGTGAGGGTATCACGTGGGTGGTGTGTTGTTGGGGGTGGGGTAGCGTGGTGAGGGGCGTCGTGGGGGTGGGGAGCACGTGGCCGGTGGGAGGAGCGCGGGCCCGCTGGCTGCCCGCCGGCTGCCCGCTTATATAAGCGCAGGCATCCCGTACCCGTAGTGAGTCTCAACTATTGTTGTTGTCTCGTATCTCGTCACTACAGCTACGTCCCTCCCTCATTCACTCACCGGGTGAGTATTTGTGGATTTGATTCACGCACAAAAGACAGTGCCAGTCTGTGTGTGTGTGTGAATGCTGATGAATGAATGGATGGGGATGTTTCCTGTGACATTGGTTTCCCGTGCTGCTTATTGTTTTGTTGTCGGCAAAAGTATTTGAAGGCGTGTTTCAATTAACCCCGAGCTCGCAAAGCTTCTTGGCAGGGTTGAGATCGTGCCTGGATTGGTCGACCATCACAGGATGTTATAGTTGCTGCGTGGTGACCAAAGCCAGCAGCAGCAGAGAGGGATGCAGCTGATCTCTGCGGCGCTGCAATCTTTGTATATTAGTCAAAGTTCTCATACGCCTATGCTGACCGCACTTGTGACCAGCGTGGTGAAGTATGGCCAAATCGGTAACTCCCCCCCCACACGCTACGGACCTGCATGGAGATGAGTTGGAAGCCTCAAATCCAGCAGCAGCGGTGGGTTTGTGCTATCGTGCAGTGAAATTTAAGGCTGTTTGATAAGTTGGCGCAGGAGTCTTTGCCGTGAAATAATGTCGAACGGTAATTGGGGAGGCAGGCCTTCATCCAGCAGTGGAGTGAGCATGGGTTGGCGCGCTGTGCTCTGAACCCGGCGAGCCACAGTTCAATTCCTTCCTCACGGCCACCACCAGTGACGTTTATTTGAACCGGTCCTGGCCCTCCCCTAGGTCGACTCGGCCTCAATTGAATACCTATTGCTATTGTTAAAAATATTGCCACGAGGGAGACAAAGGCGGCCGGGCGTTGGCCACCCACCCCCTCGTGTGCCGAGCCGGCCTTTGTCGGCGCTCGCTCACAGCGCTTGCCCCAAGTCTGTTGCAGGCAATGGGGGTGGGGTGGGGGGGTCTTTGTCAATTGGGACTCGGCCTGGCCTCGTGGTTTCCATTTGCGTACTCCGTCGTTCTCTGCTCGTTCGTGATTTTTTGTTTGTCGCCGACATTGTACTGTTGGAGATGGTTTTGGGGTTAGATCACGTAAATGGACAATGTTTATCGTTAAACCCGCCACCCCCAACCGACAGCCAATTTAGTTAAGGTTTGTCACGTAAACAAAACGTGGCCAATTTCGTTACTCGTACAGCACCACACCGGTGTGTTGGAGAGAAACCCCGCTAAAAGGTTTTACAATTCGTGTACCGTGACGTTTTGAAATTAAAACAGCCAGCATCATCAGGCGGGGACGGCCACAGAGTTGCGGAGAAATCCTCATGTTTCGGGCTTAAATATCGTCGTGAGGGTTTTAGTCATCAACAAGCCAGGGTCTATCCACTGCTGAATAAATTCCGCCTTCAACCCTCGTCCACGCCACAGCACCCACCCTGCCTGCCCTTTACACCAGGGGAGAATAAAATCGTCGGTATATCTCCCATTTGGATGTCCTTGAAAAATATGGATAGTTTTGTTTACCCTTTTTGGCAATGCTGGTGAGAGCCATACGGAAGGCTGTCTCTGGTGTTAGGCCAAAGACGACGCGCGCCTTGTGGGTGATATTGTTCGCGAAAGGCCCCTACGTGTTTTGAAACATTACCGGTGCACGGTTTGCACGTTTTGCCACAATCACGTGTGGTTAATGCAGACTTACTAGATACCTTGCAGAAAGGTATCTCGGAATCAGAATATTTATACTGGAGGAATCCGATGAGCTATAGCTCTTTTTTTCCACGCATGTCCACTATGTTTCACAGATGTCCAGTAACTATTTGGTGTTTGAACACCTTAATACCTCCATTTTTATTGCCACAAAAGGGTAAACACCTGTAATTGTTTTTATACTTTGATAACTGTCAAACAAAGGTCCCTTAGATTGGACGTCCTTGGCTCCCTGCTGTTGCACGCGTCCCGAACGTTCCTTTGCTGTCACGTCGTCGTTAGTCTTCGACCAATTGATGCTCATGGCGGTACCCGGGGTACCAAATAATACAAAAAGGCCGAGGCAATTAAATGTTATTTCTGGGACACTTTTTTTTAGGGGTGTACTTAACTCCGCGACTGGGGTACCAATAAATCCGAAATCAGTGCTACTACGCGATGTCTAAACGCCAAACATAAAAAAAAACCCGTTATCGAAGAATTCAACTTTGAATAGTGCATCGTGTACAGCTCGTCGAGATGAGTCTATAGCCGCATCGCCGACCTTCAACAGACTAAAAATTACTGCATCGGGGACATTGTGCGAGAGCCGGGGTGTACTATGGCACACCCCGGGGTGTACTATGGGCCATCAACAATAATAGTACATTTATCTGGCTGCTTCTAACATTATCTGGAGGCCCTGGGCCGATCCGGCGAAACCCCTCCCAGAGGCTGGAACCCAGTTCGGGGGATCGGCAACGTGTCGCGTGACAACGTAGTTACGCTTGATTTCGGTGTGAAATATGATATACACTACATTATACACTACATACAACTTACACAATGAACATACTGCACGTGTGTACGCGTCACCCCAATGCGAAGTCGGCGAGATTGGAGTGGTAAGCATGGTACAGTAAATACAGCAACGCTTTAAAAATATGGTGTTTTTTTGTCTATTTGTGTTTATTTGTTCCAATTTCACGTTGCCAAACACATTAAAAAAAACATAATGTCGTGCAAGAACGCGCAAAAAATAAGCTATTTTAAATGGTGATGTGATTATCCGTCGATCTTTTTAAAATCCGATGCACCCACCGACCCGAAGCTGCCGGATAATCGATGATCTGTAATATCCTTTCAAACAACATGTCCCCCTTGTAGAAGGCTAGCATACTTCCTCAGTTCGGTATAATTTTTTAACCTGCGTGGCTCTTCCAATCGACGCGTAGGGGTGTGTGCTCTCATGTATTGATGATTCTTATCCTCAACTCTGTTGATCTTTGTTTCCGCGCATTATTATAAATTAGAGTTATACTGGTAGGAACGAAGTGGACCAGACCACCAATAGATTAATGTGTCCGTTCGTCCGTCCGACCGTCCGTCCGTCCGTCCCTCCGTGTATCAACATCGCCCCCTACTGCAAACACTTGGCATGACCCTACAAAAACCTTTAGACTCAGTGACGCTATCCTGGTAGCAACATCGCCCCCTACTGCAAACACTTGGCATGACACATGTAACATTCCCTTATTCCCTGAGATAGCTTTTGATTAAAACCTTGAAATTAAATAAAGTGCGCGCGTTTCGTTAACATTAACGTGAGTAGCCGCGTGTAAGAGTTACATTTTAACGACAGGCGCGCGCTATAATCAGTAGTTTATAAACTGTATTAGTCACTTTAAAGTTACTGAGGCCTAGTCATTCAGCGCCTCGTATACAGCCTTAGGCCTTTGCGTGGCAAGGTATATTAAGCGTTTATTTTAATGTTTATAAAAAGTTAATTGCACTTTTAACATTAACGTGAGTAGCTGCGTGTAAGAGTTACATTTTAACGAGACGCGCGCACTATAATGAGTGGTTTATTAACTTTATTTGTCACTTTTAAGTTACTGAGGCCTAGTCCGTTAGCGCCTCGTATACAGCCTTAGGCCTTTGCGTGGCAAGGTATATTAAGCGTTTATTTTAATTTGTTTATCTAACCTATATAATTCATTTTTTGTCCGTCCGTCCGTCCGCGTACGCTCCCTACCGGGGGATTTAGCTCTCGGACCGTGGGGTTCGGCGAGATTAAATTTTGCATGTGGGCACGCCCCCGGCCCTGCGGTAAACTTAGGCATTTCCGATTTTTCGTCTCTAAACTTTAAATCGGACCGATTATCGATTTAGAGCGATTTATCTTTATATATTTATATAACGCTTTATTTATTTATTTACTCTTGCCGGCCGGCGCGGACCACGGCGGTTGCCCCTGGCAACGGGTAGAGACGCTTTCGCTGCGGGGTGGACGCCATTTTGAATTCCCGTTGAAATATGCGCACGCATTAACACGCGATTCTGAGGTAAATTCATCAAAGTTTCACGTCCTCTTCACTCCCCTTCCACCCCAATGTGTGCAATTACTATTATAGGGTCGGTAGATAATAAAATTATAGCGATTAGACAGTATTATTGTAGCGCGTGGGGGGGGGGGGTATTGGCCCCAGTACACACCCTCAGCCGGGTAGGCAATCTAGGCAAGGCCGGAGGCTCTGCACGGTACTAGGCCTCGACACCCCACCCGTGTCAAGCGACGACTTTGTGGTATAAACTTGATATACCCGGCGTTGCCCGGGGGGAAAATACATTTAAAATCTTCTGAAAACTTTAAAACATTACATACCAATGAAAATACAAGTGTGTAATTACTTTTAAACCCGACGCGCCAAGAATCGATTCTCTGAATCGCGAAAAGGAATCGAAGGTTGTAGATTCCTTTAGATTCGGACGATTCCCGTTTACTTTAAGTTGGTTAAAGTCGATATAAACTGCTACGAACGGGAAATATCCGGCGTTGACCGGGGCAAAAATGTTATTAAAACTCCTGAAAACATTCAAACATAACATATCAATGAAAATAAAACTCTGTCATTCAAAATGTAAACCCCCAACATGCCAGGAATCGATTCCTTGAATCGCACAAAGGACGAATCGAAGGTTGTAGATTCCTTTAGGATCGCGCTTAACGTGGTGAGGGGTGAGTGGTGAGGGGGAGAGTGGTGAGGGAGAGAGTGGTGAGGGGGAGAGTGGTGAGGGGGAGAGTGGTGAGGGGGAGAGGGGGCAGGGAGAGAGTGGTGAGGGAGAGAGTGGTGAGGGGGAGAGTGGTGAGGGGGAGAGTGGTGAGGGAGAGAGTGGTGAGGGAGAGAGTGGTGAGGGGGAGAGTGGTGAGGGGGGAGAGTGGTGAGGGGGAGAGTGGTGAGGGGGAGAGTGGTGAGGGGGAGAGTGGTGAGGGGAGAGTGGTGAGGGGGAGAGTGGTGAGGGGGAGAGTGGTGAGGGGAGAGTGGTGAGGGGGAGAGTGGTGAGGGGGAGAGTGGTGAGGGGGAGAGTGGTGAGGGGGAGTAGTGGTGAGGGGGAGTAGGTGGTGAGGGGGGAGAGT